ACTGTATTTGACTGTATAAATACGTTTAGGCGTTTATTACGTGTATCATTCCGATGCATTTATGTATTAAACAAAAGTTAAAATATTTTTAGTAGGGAGTAATTCAAAACTTACAGTAAATTAGCTGAAAAATTAGTCAATAGACAAATGTACATACAAGACAGCACAGACGATGCACTTACGAAACATTCATGCGTATATAAATAAGTTTGTGTGCAATATAGAGAAAAATAAAATTAAAATAGCATTTAAACTAAACAATTTTTTACCTTTTGTAGAGAACAAAGAAATGTACAACTGTATTAAGAAAAATAGAGACGCTCTTGAAATCTTCGACACGTGTTTACTTTCGATGTAGGCACATGAACTAGGTTAAACGCTATTCAGCTCTGTTGCATAAAACATTCGGTAGACAAAACGTGATAGCAAATTGATAGTACTAGCCAATAGAACGCGAATAGGTTGTTTCAATTATATGATATACATAAGAAAATTAATCGAAAATGCAAAGTGATTTTTTTTAAGCAATTTCGATACACGTGTTCTCGCTCACACGTGTACGTCTGAAATGTATCACTATGTTGCTTGTATTATTGTCTCAATTTTTTACATTAAATTATCAAGGGTGAACATCGAAATAAAATTCTTTCTCGATCAAGAATATTCTTATCGATGTAAACATTGTATTTTATGTATTATAGGTCTGTGAATATTTTCCAGAATCTTCTTTTTTTTCAAACATTGGTATCGCGCCATATGCAAAACTATTAATGTCGAGTCAGAAGATCGTGTCGCCAAATTACTTTACCTTTACGACTGAACCTACTGGGATCTTTATTATTCGAAAAACCTCTTACAGATTTACCGAAGCGTAGTGGTGCACCATCTTGTTGAAAATTAAATTCATTCCAAGTTTAAGCGGAATATTTTTTAACACGGTATAACTATGACATTGAGAAAAATGTCATTTTACATTTTTGACTGACATTTCAGTGTAAATTATCCACTTGGCACCCACTCTCATAAATGGCACTATCTTTAAGCGATAAGAGAAATACTACGCGTAATATTTTCTTCCGATTGATTTTCCAAGCGTCATAATAACGCAATTCGTCGATTTTCTCGCTAAACGTTCTGTCCGTTTTGATTAAATTAATTATGTATCGTGTAGTTTAGGGTGGAAGTGGGAGGCATTGGAATGCGTGACACGTAGTGACAATAACGGAGTTTATCCGGATATGATAACGATAATAAATATTCGCAATAACATTAACGTAATATAAACAATTTTCCCTGTTTTAGTGTGTCGAGTAAATTATATAAAAATGTAACTATCGTTTTTTGTTCATATTTCTGTGTTTCTAGTTCTTTCATATTCTTATATAGTAGTATAATGTACAATATTACAATGAAATTAACCGAGTATTGTATTACGTATATTATTTAGTAGCTAATAGGTCAGGATTTATAATTATGTTTATACTACGCGTTAAAGTATACATATGTGGTAATGGTTACATAGATTTTTAAATATATATGTATTGGAATGAGTGGAACAAGTATGCATGGGATTTCAATATGTAATGAATTCAGGATATTATGATAAATGAGTATGCGTGTAATGATTGAGGTGTTCTGTGAATTGTGTATGTTAATGTAATGTATGAAAGAAGAAAGAAAAAAGACAGTGATTTGGAATATATCAGTTGCAATTGAGTATTAACAGAGAGAAGACGTGAGAGCATGTGATAGTGATAAAATAATTATATTCCAACCCAATATTTCTGTTAGATAATCTTTGTAATTAAATAAATAATTGTTCTTATTGTTATTAAATTTCATCCACCACTAACAACATAAAGTAACACTTTTGAATAATTTTGTAGTAATCGAATATTTTCGTCAGACTTTCGAGTGCATCGTACCTACTGTGTACTTCGTTAAATTATTTTCTAATTTTTTATTCACACGATTTACAGACTTCCTCTTTGTCATTATACGCATCATATCGTTTTATGATTAAAATCGCGAACACGTATAAGTATTCAAATATTTTGATAGACACCGTAGATTACAGGAGAAGACGATGTATATTTTCCTAGGGTTTGCAAGAATCTCATAAATTTCCCTCATATCTCTACTCGCAAAGACAAAACTTTTTATACTTTCCTCCAGTATTTCGAGGAGAAATAAGAAGTTGACGTACAAACATTTCGAGATCGTGTCATATTTTTGGATAGCTGAAATATCAGCGATGCAGATGTTTTTCCAAGAACTCAAGGTGAAAGTGAGAACCTGCAACGATGATAATGTTTATGTTCTTTTACATATCGTATATGGGAAAAAGAATCTAACGATACAAGAAATTGAAATATAATTGTCTCATCTAATAAATGTTCTTAGGTCATGTCTCTAATTTAAGAAGAAACAAATCACCGACCTTTTTAACGAAACAAACGATTCATTCGAATTTAACCCTTTGCACTCGAGAGGCGCCTTTCAGTCACCATTTGATAAAATTTCGAAGCTCGATATTAATTAATATATCAAATTTAAAATAATGTAACAGTGTGCGAGGTATCGAAATTAAATAATTCTACGTGTTAATTATTATACGATTTCGTATTTACTGCTTAAAAAATATCATCAGCCTTATGGCAGAAAATTTTTCAACTCGTAGCCTTCTTTAGCCAAAAAATCGTCGAGCGCAAAGGGTTAAAACATATATATGTATATCGCGAGAAGAACATTAATCGATATCGTTCACGAATAGTTCTCGTTTCTTATACACGTATAAGACGCTCATTCGCTAAATCGATTAATTTCCAGAAACAAAAATTAAACATTACTAGAATGTTTACAAATTTAGAAAGTGGAGTCAATCATTTTGCTTTATGAATACTTCGTATTTTTAGTTCTAAATAGAAAAATGTTGCATGTAACAAATTTTTATTTTGGAGATATGGTCGTTAAAAAATTCCTATATCGATTTTTCTTACTTGCATTAGGTTAAATCGCTTAACTTCCCTTTACAGAATTTTTTTGTAAATTTGTTTTTATCCATTTTTTTTTTTTTTTTTGTTAATGCGTAAATTATATGTTTTGTAACTTAGTTATCTTCTTATAACATCAGATTCATATATATACTGGCAAAAGTTAAGAAACGAAATAATAACATTATAATTAATAATTGGTTTTATGCGAGATATATTATTTTTGATTTTAATATTATTTTAATATCAGAAGATAAAGAACATAGAAAAATTCGTAAATTATTACTTTATATCTTAATTTTGTTCACTTTGTTGACGCTATTACGAAGACATTGATGATCCGCAGTGAGTTATTCGATGTCGCTTATTTACACGCAAAGATAAAAGTGTGAATTAAATTATTATAGAATTAAATTCACAGAAATTTATAATTTTTTTCTCGAAAAAATCGAAATAAAATTTTCATTTAAAAAGCTTTTCCATCGAGGAAGTATAGTGAAATGATTACTCGAGCCATGGAAAATATCGTTAGAGCGGAAAGATTTAAGTTTGGTCGGTAAGTGCAAGAACCCCATAGATCGATGAGGGTGGCAATATTTGGTGACAACTAGCTATTCGCTTTATCAACCGATATCAATGTCTAACGACATAAGTAAATGGCCAGCATGGATGAAGCTATGGGGGTAACAGAAAAGGTATCGCGAGGGAACGCGAACGCGCAAGTCGTTGCGCACGCATCTTTGAATGAACGCGATTTTAAAGCTTCAGTAGCTCCGATGCAGTTCTTGGGAATGGTACGTCGGCGATCGTAGTCTCGTGTACTGTTCAACGCGTTTCCCGTGTTATTAATGTGAATCGAATCGATCGACAATAACAATCGTAAAATAGAAACGAGAGATTTTGCAATCGCGTGTTCGCGTGTAAAGCAACAGACAAACAATTATGCGCCTGTGCGCATAATTCGAAGAGAAGTTCGAAGAGAAATCGTTCTAATTCAGACGCATTCAAACTGGTATCATGTACATAGATTAGTAAAAACGGATGAACGATTAATAACGTGCTCTATAACTCCTATACTATAAACTCGGACATATTTAAATATATTTATCCTTCGATACGTTTTTTACATTTATGGAAGAGTACGACGATATGTAATGCTCACTGAATATGAGAGAAAAGAAACACAGCCACGAAGTTAAATGATAGTATTAATGTAATGGTATTAAATAGCACTGCAAAATTCCTACGCAGTGTTCAGCGTTGATGCAATCACCATATTCATGTATACCTATACGGGAAACAAGTTTTAAATGGTCTTTGTCAACTTTGTGCACCGCGAAAACTAACGATTGAGTTAATTGAAACAAGTTTGCCGTTGTTATTGTGCTTATCAATTTGTTTAATTCGAAGCCGGAATTACTGCTGTAACAGTTGATACACGAATAAAAATATTTCCGTTAATATATGAATAACAAAAGTGTACGAATGTAACGATTAAAAAAAAAATAGGAATCGTAATGATAGAAAAGTGAATTATTCTGCAAATAAATTGGTAATATCGTACTACTGAAATAGAAGGGTGAAAATTCGCAAGGATAACTAAACCGCCAAAATACCTCTTTTCATTGGCTACATTTTCTTCTTCTAGTATAATAGATTTTATCGTTGATATCGTCACGTTGTAATTCAAAATTATTAATTTTTTCATAATTATTTCAGAAACAATGACGCGTTATATGACAGCAAAATCAGGTTCCAGGATAAACCTTTAAATAAACTTTAAAACTATGAAGAAACTATTTTATGGAATATTCTTGGCGAAAATGTTTTTACATATATGTACGTACACGTGGATTGAACGATTGGAAAATGGAGAAAACGACGTAAATTACGCGTGAAAAGAATTTAGATGGAAAAAGAGCAAGTGAAACTTAGCCAAATTCGTCGCAATTCGACATTGCTATTTTTTTAAGAGGTGTCGGCTATACTTTCCGCCAGGTCTAGAAAATGAACAGTTTGTTCTTGTATGGTTTGTACAACTGCAGTGCTACAGTTCTCGAGCAGAACATTACGTTTTTGTTGAGGTTCAATCGTAGCGATCTTCTTGAAATATTGCAAAACGCGTTCGAGAAATCTAACGAACGCAACGCTCTGCGCGACGCTTTCTTAGATTGTTTGTTGAATTATCAAGAACGACCTTTTGATTTACCATGGTGGCAAAAATTGTTCTGGTCCCTTATATTCGCTGCGATGTTGTTGGTGGCAACGGGTGGCAATGTCATCGTCATATGGATCGTGCTCGGTAAGCGACTTTTGTTTTAGTATACACGGTATTGCGAGAAAAAGAGAAGCGTAACTCGATACAAGTTGTTTCCAGAGATCAAATTTTTCATCACTTTCACGCGTTTCGAATTTTTAGACGTTTGCATTTACACGAAAAATATCATATATGTACAGGTTGAGTGCACCAGAATTAATTTCACAGTTAATCTGAAAAATTTCCATTGAAAATTCGTAACGTCGATATTATTTTTCTATCGATTGGTACAAAAGTGACACAACAATTTAGAGAAACCATTTCTGTAATATCGTATTTTATCGTTGAAGATTAAATATATTAACGAAGTGCTTTCTTTGTGATAGAAGCGGTAGATTGTCGGATTAACGTAAATCTTTCTTTTGTCAGTTTGGAAGAATCGATCAAATCCCATTGCATAAAAATATAAACCTGTTCTCGTAAAACTTTAACGAAAAACTTTAAAAACAAATTTAACGAAAGATATATATATACGAGGATGTTTAAATAATTGGTATTTAATTTTTTTTAATACCACAATTTTACATAATAAAATAACGAACGGCAGTATATACCTAGTATATTCGGTAAATTTTAAAGCTATTTTCTTCTTTATATGATTTTATATGTATATATATTATAAATATTAATGCATGTCATTTTTATATTTATATTTTATACAAAATTTATTCATTTCAGAAAATTAAAAGAATGTTTTACATATTAAATTATATTTTACGTAATTATAACTATAATTCATTTATGTCATATTTATAAAATATTTACAATCTGTATTATATAATATATAAAATTATTAAAGATATATTACTTACGAGAAAATAACTAATATATTTTATACAACGGAAAATAGTTAGCGATGTTAAGATTTCTGCTTAATCTGTCATTCAGTGCAGACGAATTAACTCGTCAACACAGACTACTGATACTCTGAAAGTAAACATTTATCTTTCACTGATTCTTTACTTTTGAAAATCCCATTACAGTTATATTAATTACACGTTACGTTATATTTAGATTTATTTGAGTTTAACGTGACTTAATTCGGATTAATTTTTTGCTACGAATTTTTAATTCTGTGACTGTAAAGCTTCTAGATAATAACTTATGCAATTAACAAGTTAATTATCTTTTATCAAAAACAGAAAATTATTTCGCGGTGATTATTCGTTGCCCGTCGTTTCGCGGTATCAATTAATAATATTCGTATTTCATGTACTTATTTTAATAGAGCCAAATGAGTTCAAAAAGTTTCATAAATCGAAACTTGCAAAGAATTTTTTAATATTAATTAACGAACCATTACGGCAACTTTCATTCTTATTAGGTTTCCTTTAGCTCTGATTCCAGGTTTTAAAATTTTTTTTCGTCTTTCATCTTGACGCATACTGTTTTCTGATACCTTTTATTTACTTATTCGTTCATTCATTTACACAGATTGACGGAACTTGTGACATAAAATTCTTCAGAAATTATTCTTTATTCTTTATTTCCTAACATGAATAGGTCAGACATAAAAGTAGTCAGTTTAATTGCTTTTTTAAATTATTCAAGAGGCTACGATTGGTATTAGATTAATGAAATCAAATAAAATTTTTATGAGAAAAGTTATATGTTTTGTTTCGACCTTTCGATTTATTCTAGTAGCAGAATAAAATATCGGAAAGCTTTTGGATTTTATAACTGTATGGCACCTGTGCAGCATACTCAATCTATTATAATTTATATATATGTAGGATCGGGGTGGGTGTGTGGGTGGGCTAAAGTAATGTTGCTTTACTACCTCTTCAAATATAATAAACTTATACTTATATTATCGGCTACGAAACTAGAGACCCGCTACGGGTACGCTCGACTTTTATTTCTTAGACACTATTTTGAGGACCGTGAAAGACTGGTGCTGCCCGCGCCCTTGCACCCTTAGTTAAGCATTCAGTCTGTTCTTTCCCATACCCAGGCTTTCACTCTAACATAAACATTCATTGCAATCGATCCTCGCGCACATGGTCACTTTCATTCTAAACCCAGACACACTTGACATTCTTCCAGGGCCGTACTTATTACAATTCCACATATATATTGTAGGATGGCGAATACTGGTCTTGAGACACCGAAAATTCACGAAAGAACAAGAACACAATAACACAAACTCAAAACTCGTAAACTGATTTAACTTAGGAAAAGAACAACAAGATAACGAAATGAAAACACACAAGGACGCACTCTTTTAAAACTCTTTTTCCAGCACCAAGCGACTCACGCTTGTGCTGGTCACAACCGATTTCCAAGGATTCTGTTTTGGCTGTCAAGGACCACGCTTTTATGCTTTCCTTAACCTACGCTTCACCTCCCCGTAGAGGAGCCAAGCAACTTAATTTTGTTATATAGAATAACTTTTCGATTTGCTTCTAGAAGATATCGATCGGTTTACAATTTGTTTTTATTGGCAATAGCCGATTTGCGATTTCTTTTGATATCCTACAATATATTATGTTTTTGATTTTTTTCTGTTAATTTCGTTCTATATAAGGACCAATTTCAATGTGATTCCACAAATGTTCTATAATGTTCAAATCATATATTGAGCTTGCCTTCTTGATTACATTAACATTTCGCTGTGTAAGGAACGTTTTAATTAATTCGAATGAATGTTTGGTTTGACTATCATATTGAAAAAGTAATCTTGTAGATATCTTCTTCTCATCGAATAATATCATACGGTTTTGCAAAATGGTGCACGAAATTATTACGTTTTATAATTTTATCTCGAATATCTGGAACTCTGTCAAATATTTTACTATATATATTGTATCTGTAACTATTTATTTTGAGTATTTATAGCGTATAAATACTATATATTACACAAACCATATTGTTATGTATCTTAACATATAAAGTAGTTTTATACACATTTGCATATTTATGTTTACAAATAACTGCTCTGTTTATTAATTTTTATCAATAGGTATAGATAAACCGTATCGACATTTTTAAAAAACATTCAATTACATTTAGACAATGTATTCAATATTCACGCATTCCTTCCAGCTATTGTTCATTTCAAGTACTGGAAATTAGGTATTCACACAAAGATTTTGTATCCATAATAGTTACATAAATTAATTGGTATTGCACTTCAACTGCAATAATAATAAAAATTTCTGGGCTATAATTTTATACTTTCAAAAGAAGGTGTGTTGCGAATAAAATTTTATAGAACGATAAGTAAAGATAATATAATAATATTTTTTATGTATTTATTTACTTTACTCCTGTAAGTCCAGTTTAAAGGGAGGGGGGAAATCATATGAAATCACAAATATCGATTGCCAAAATGATTATTCGGGAATGAATAAAAATTTTCGTAAACCCTTTTATATGTTAATAATTAGACAACTTTTGTGCAAAGGTTTTTCGCTGGGTATAATTATTTTCGAATTATCATTTTAGGAGTCAATGTTATCTTTATTAAATATTTTTTTCTGACATTTCTCTCGTGTATTCAGTTTTGCGCTGCAGGGTAATATATCCCTATTAGATGGATGTATCCTTAGATGATATTAAACATTTTTATATTGCAATTATTACACACGTTTAACGCGATAGTGGTCAACCTATAATATGTATCATTATACGTGACATATAATTTTATACCCAAGGTTATTTTGTAAGAAAAATCCTTTTCGAAGCCTTATAAATTTTTCAAACATTAAAATCAACATTTTCTCTTTATGTCTTGTCTTTATTTAATTATTTATCTATAATCTATATTGTCTAATTCGTATTTTATCGCAAAATAAAAGGAATTTAATAGCTTTCTCGACTTCCACACAATCATGCAATCTATTAATTAATAACACCGTTAGAAATTTAACTATATTTCCTGTTTCGTATAAAGTTAAAATAATATACCAAATTCGGAGGTCATAGTGATGTTCAAAATTATCCATTACGGCCAATTGTTATGAAACTTATTAGAAAACAATGTACAATATTTCTCTTCGTTATTGGGGATTTATACAGAGTAACTGATTTCATTCTGTCTCAGAAATTTGCCGTTAATGTGTGCAGTATCGACTTGTTTTATATAAAGTATAAGAAAACCGCCGATAATCGGGTCCAAGCGATCGTCGACAGACGCATAGCGGCGACTTTGTGCCCTCGATGGCTTTCAATCGTTATAAAGCGATCGAGAACGAGAAATATCGACAGAGGAAGACCGCATGCGTGTCTCGAATTTAGTTCGTTGGAGACTCTCGACCGAGCAAGAGTGCGCGAAGAATAAACTTTTTGAGACAAGAAATCTTCTTTAATTTTAATCCGAGTCCGTTCGGTCCTCCGAATCACAACTCCTGCAATTCACAAGTGGGATAGCCCCCGCAACCGTGGGTCGAGATTTGAGAACTTCTTTTCCCTTTTGTAATCCCTACGTTACGCGAAGTCTTTGTGTACCTCGTTAGTAGTGGTGTTTGAAACTGTCCTACGTTACGTGAAGTCTTTGTGTTCCGCATCCGTAGTAGTGTTTGAAACTATCCAATTGTCTTGATGATTGCGTGTAGTGATTTGTATTGTGGCCGAAGGGACAGGCGAATGAAGATGCCAGGAGGCAAGGAAGATTTGTTCGATTTCACTCACAAAGAGTCTCAATGGACGCAGCCTGTCAATGGATGGAAGAAGGGAACGAAGAACGTTTTAGGAATATCCCGCCATGCGTCGGTGGAACAGCGTAGACAACCCCGGTAGAAGAGCCGATAAGCAGACGGGATGTTCCGTCCCGGAGAGCGTGTTTATAACATAATTTTATTCTAAGGCTTACACTTTTGCCAGACCTAACGGTTTATTTTATATTTTATACCGCGACTGCAATTCCGGAGGTTCGATGTGCCTCAACGCCGTTCTAGCGGATTAAGCTTATAAAGGTAAAGCAAAATTAGGAATTTTACTAGTACCAGACGCGACAGATGGGACCCACTTGTGACAGACCCAAC